GGGGATAAACAGATGCAATCACTATCACAAAAGCCCACCCATCCTGGAGGGGAGCCCTGCAGTAGTGGCTGACAGAGAAATGGCTTGGTGGTCCCAGAAACAGGGCTTTTATTGGGTGTCTCATTGAGGTCTCTCATTTGGAGTTGTAAAAGAGATCAGAAGAACATGGGTGTTAATGCTAAACTGCAGTTTCTCCTAAGTGTCTGTTGTGTTGATAAGAGCTGCTGTTAAAAAACACAATGTTTGATCAAAACTACTTGATTGGATTCACAAGGCAGAAGCAAATGTTGGTTGTGTTCTTCAATCAGCCTTGTGTTTGCAGTCCACCATTCTCAGGCTGTGGTCCTGGGATCCCTGGGATGCAAGGAAACCAATTCTAGGACACCTCACTAACTTTTAACCCTGGCAGATCAACATTTAAAATAAATTACATTAATGCTGCATATGCATTTGCATTAGTACTGTGAGTATCCATTTAAGATGTAATTCAGGTGTGCTCATAACTTGTGAAAGGTGAAATCAGGAGGATAGCCATGGTGGGAACAGGGAATAGGTTGAAGGGAACCAGTGATGAGGCATGTCCTGTTCACTCTGTTCAGCCACTAAAAGGAATTTGGAAAATTCCCCATTYTAAGAGTTTGATTTTTAGCAGTGATGTACTGAAGTATACCTGAGGTGCCCCAGCAATTGCTATGGAGCTATTCAGATTAAAAGTTACCTGTGCAGGTGAGGGGGAGATGCAGGACCCAGACTTCATTCTGTTTAGGACCAAGAAGTGTCATAGTTAAACTATGATAGACTGATTTTTAAACCTCAGATGTGGCATTCTTAGAATGAGTGTACTGTGTGACTGTCTTTCCATTTCCAGTGACAAATGACATTTGTAGCCCGTATAGATAAATAACTTTTATGGGACAGTGTAAACTACATAATAATGAAAAAGGTTTYCCAGCTTAGCTGTATTTTTCTAGAAAGCAGCTTTGTGCCTTTTGTTGTTTTATGCTCCTGATCAAAGTGGTTATTCTGGAAGTCTGCTTTAGCCCTAATCTTGCATCCATTCAATTCACATTTCACTAGGGTGAAGTCTCAGGAATAATCCCAGTGCTTAGATGCATYATTTTTTCAGGTGATACCATGAAATAAAACTCCTGAGGATCCTGTGATGACTTCTGCTGGGTATTGAATAGGTCAGCTGTGATGTAGCCAGTCAAGGCTTCTGTTCAAGTGCAGAGTTCTGCTCTCCCTTGTGTAGTTATCACTTTCTTCTCCAAAGGAGCTGCATTTTAAATGCAACTCARTTGGAAACATCCTGTCAGGGTGGCACATCAGTGGCCTAAGCAGAATGACAGCAGTAATTTGCAGTGGTTGTTGTGTACAAACCTGACCATGGGCTACGGGTTTGTTCTGCCATTCTTGTGGGTAAAGGGAGTTTCACACATTTTGCACTGAGTTCCTCTGTCTGTTTTCCCTATTTGCATTTTGATGAAGCTGAGGCTTAAACTTAACAAAAGACCTGTCTATTGAAGTACATGCAATTCAAAAACCAACAGCTCATGTGGTAGAGAATCTCTCCTAAAGTAAGTTTGGGAAAAAAAAATCTTTTGAGGAGACTGGTCTCCTTATTGTCTTTCATTGCCTAACTGGCCTGGGCTGCATTCTGTCATTTCTAGGTGAGTTGAGAGCTGTTCCAGTGTGTGCAAGCATTGAAATCTGTTGAGCTTTCCCTTCAAAAAACTTTCACAGGAAAAAAGGTCCCAATAGATACAGGCAAGAGACCCAGATTCATTAACAGAAGAGTTTTGGAAACTCRAGGAAGATGTGTTTTTTGATTTCCTGGACTTCCTGATCTGCTGTGCATTATCCACACATAATTTTGAGAAGGTTTGGAGCTGACAGAGAAGTGATACTCCCAGAGCAGTAGTGTATTCATTAATAACACAGTGACCTTTGCTCATTCCTGTTCCCAATCCCAAGTCTCAGTTGTGGTGGAATTAAAGCTCAGCCAGGCCAGTTAAAGTGATTTCTTTAAAGGCCTGAGCTGTACCATTTGGAGTCAATGAGAGGACCAATAAAAATGGTGTATATGGAAGTGACCCCTTGTTACCAGGCTGTTTTCATCTCAGGGTTGCTGTTACACCAGAAAGGATAAGAAGGGACCTTTTTAGGGGGAAAATTTTGGTCCCCCAAGGAGTCATTCAGAGATGTCTTGTCGTATGCAGAGAACACATTTGCTCAACAAACTGGCACCATCTTCCCAAACACAGCCCAAGAGCTGCTTTAAATACCATGTTGGTGCCATGAAATAAAAACCTGTGAAGTCTGCAGAGGAGCTGAATGGAAACCATGGCTCCTGGCTATCGTTTGGACCAGCTTAATGTACTCTGGAAAAAAATATTTCACACGTCATATCACACCGGCTGAAAAAACAGCGTGCATCAGCAGTGCTGTAACACAGAGTAAAGGACTCTCAGCAGGTGTTAATGTGCAGAGGCACTGAGCATTATAGTAACACCTGTGTTTGTTTAAATCCAGCCAAAACAATTTCCTCTCCAGTTGTAGAGGAGGATTAAAAAAAAAAAAAAAATCTTCCCAACTTCCAGTAGTAGCAGACATTCCTATAAAGCAATTTGCATAGTATTTCCCGTGGTGCATTCTGGCTGCACTGGGGTTTTTCTTTTCAAACCTTTTTAGTCAGGGGACACCTTTAGTAACTTCAGTGCTTCCCAACCATCCCTTTGTCCTGTGCCAGCATTGCCAGGCCTGAGCAGTTGCAGATGGTGTGCTCTCTCAGTGCTTTCCTTAACTGATGAAAAATAAAGCCTCTTGTAAAATATTACCAATTTAGATGTGACTTATGGGGCACATATGATGCTTATTTTTTCAATTACACGAAAACTTGGCGAGGTTAAACATAGGAAGCCAAGTGTTCTGTGAAGCTGGTGTAGATTTCTGGATTTTTTGGTGATTTTACTTTAAATTATTATATAGCGGGAGGAGGTGAAGGAAGTCAGCAGCTAAACTGTGTTTTCCCAGCATGTATTTTACTCAGTGGACCCTTGATGCTCATTTCATGACTAATATATGCTGTACTATATGCATTTCTTGTTGTCACCAGAGATAACATTAAGTAAACTATCCCCTTAAGAAAAACAGCTTTTCTTGGCAAGTAGAATATGACTCAAGGAGCCAGCACTGGAGACATACGGTGCTGTGAATGAGTGCTGTGTGTTACTCTACTGGATCTGAGTCCAGGCACTATTTATACTGCAGCATATTCAGCACCAGATTGTTAAATCTTAATACTGAAACAGTGCATCATTTAAATGTTTTTGTTCTGTTTATGTCCCATTTTCAAGCATTGGATTTTGAGCAACGCTTACTAAATTTTTGTTTCATTTGGACAATGTCTCTCCTTTCTAATCTGCTCTTGAAATATTAACCTGTCTGCACCAGTGTGTTACAGTGAAACTTTCTGCCACTGAGGATGAACTAGGTAATTTCCAGCTTGTTTCAGTATGTGGTGACAGAATGCCTTGCAAAGCAGTACGTCAGTGGTAAATGCAAGATTTAAGTGCTACAGAAAAGGAGTTGTACTAAAATTACTTTCTCTGCAATCTGTGTAGGAATGGGGAAAAAAATATTCTATAGCAGGTACTTCATGGGCTCRTTGTGTTTTGTTACTGTCTGCGAAAAGCTTTGTTTCACTGTTTCAATATGGTGTTTATTTTATGATCATTTTTGGGAGGTCAGGATAAAAGGCTTTTGTCATTTACTGCAGTTCAATTAGTTCCAGAGCTGGTGAAGAGTTGGGAGTAGAAACTGAGGAGGAGACASTTGAAGTTTCTTGGCACCACATCCTTCCAGATACCCAAGAGGAGTTCTTGGCATGCCTGTTACAGCAGAAGAAGTAGTTTTCTCATGTATTAGTGTATTACTTTTTTATGGCAGTTGAGTTTATGAATGTCTTTTCAAAGATCAATCAGTATATAAAGAAACCTCAGAAGGCATCASTTTGAATGGGAGAATGGTGTCTTGTAGGGCTGAGCTGAGGAAAGTTAAGTGAGCAGAACAGCGAGTCAATGGGAACATAATGAAGGAGGGAATAAAAGCAGTGGTGGCAATAGTGCAGAACAAGGCTGAACTGCTTTGCTGCCATCTAAGATGGCACTGTGGCTTTCTTTGTGTGGTGTCTTCCTGGAAGTCATTCCTGGGTRTTAGTCATTGGTTTTGGTGTGGGTGGGCCCTCTGCAAGTCCAAAYAGAAATAATACCTCTGCTCCAAATGGATTACCATCCAAGTTTATGGTCTTTGTGACAAGCTCATCCAGAAGAGGTGATGATCCCTATTAAAGAATGAACAGAAGTAGAAATAGAACTTACAGCATTCTTCCCCGCCTCCCRAAAGCTATTTTGGATCTGTGGTCAGCAGCTTGTAGTTGTTTGGTTCTTTTTTATTTTTCCCACAAAGAAAAGCAACTGTCTGCATAGTGCTGCTTGTATCTGGGAGTGAACTCTTCCTACTTGGTGGGTTTCCAGTGGGATCCATCCACAATGGGAATCGTACCTTGCTTGGATTGTAACAGTGCTGAAACCCACGCAGAGGAATTTTCCTGTTCAAGTCAAAAAACCCACATTTATTTACTGACAAGTTATTATAGACTGCAAAATCAGGACTAGAGAGTACTTAAAGCTTATTCTARCTTAAAGAACTAGGCTTTAGACCTATGATGAGAGATGTGAAGGGAGGAGGTTTCCTGTGCTTCCTTGAAGAAATTTAAGAGTCAGGAACATGTCAGCARCTGTCTGCTAAAAATTCTAAATCTGTTCCTGTTCTTCCCCACTGTTTGCCTCAGGAGTCAGTAGARCACATCTTTCTGAGGAAGACTGCMAYAAACCTCAAGGCAGATCTTGAATCKTGGGAGCAATCAACCTTGCAAAAGGGTTTAATAAATGGCTGATAAAATATAAAGTATGGATTTTTTTTTTTTGTTTTCTTTTCAGGAATAATCAAGCTTGGGAGGTGGAATCCCCTCCCTCTCAGTTATGTGACTGATGCACCAGATGCGACAGTAGCTGACATGCTACAAGATGTCTATCATGTTGTGACATTGAAAATCCAATTACAAAGGTGGGTGTTTCTGARCATCTGTCCTTCCCTATTCTCTGAGCTGCTCTGTCGGTTACAGCATTACTACAGAGATTAGCAYATCCTGTCTTCATTAATTTCTGGTCTTTTGATGGAATGAAAAGAAAATTAAGAGAAGGATGGGTCACCTGGCAGCTTTTTGGTGCATGTTACAAATGATGTCGTGTGTTTTTTGAGGTAGCAATGTGGTAGCAGAGAGGAGAAGGGCAGAAACCCAATCGAGTAAAGATAGGGGCTTTTAAAGGCAGATCTTTCTGCAGTCCATAATTTAATGGTTTCTTAAATTCTAATTGTATCAAATAATAGACAGCCCCCCTTTTTCTAGGGGCTGCATTGTGAAAATCCAGGTCTTCTGCAGCCAGTTGCTGAGATGTGGAAGAGGGGAGCTTTTTCTGACTTTTTTTTTTACTCCAGTGGTTTTTCCAGCAAACAGGAAGTGTCACTGCAGCTCCATGTGGCATTTGGAAGATATTTTCTTTCCCTGAGGGCTGGTTTTGATTAACAAAGCAAAAGCTCCCAACAATTTTACACTTATTTGCYCTCCTTTCCTCCCACTCTTCCCTACTCTTTTCTTCCCCTTTCTCTCTATTGGCCTTCTCAAGAGTCCTCAGATAGTTCCTGATGTAAGGTCAGGCAGTGCATGGGATATTCCAGACCTGCAGATAAGCCTATATTGCACAGCCTCCTGTAGCTCTATGGCCAGGACATGCCAGAGGAAAGAGTAAAATAGAACAGATAATCTGGAATAACTTGCTGACAATTCTTTGAAGCYTTGGCTTGAACAGAAGAGGGTCCCACAGGGATCTGTGTGTGTCCTTTGGTGCCAGGTACATACCCTCCAACTGTTCAGTTCAGTTTAGAATTTGGAAGTAGTTGATGCCTCACTGATGTTAGACTTCCAAGCAGCAACATTTCTTTCCTCTTGTATCTTTCATCGTGCTTGGGTTTTCTGATTCCCATGAACAGATCTTTCCTTGGTTTTATGTATTGTTTGCAGTTTCTCATGGGCTGCATCTCTGCCATGTATTTGTAAAAGACTATTTAGACCCTATAGCTGCTATAAAATGAGTGTAAAACTCATTTCCTCAGAAGTGTGAGCTACCAGGAGTTCATCTAGCCTATTGTCACATCTGTATTAACAAAGGATATCACCCAAGATTAAGATCTCCTTCTTTATCTTCAAAGTGCCTGAATGCCATGTAAATAAAAGATAGCCCATGACTTTGAGATAAAGATGATCACTTGAACTGCTCAAGCACAACTGAAGGTTCATCTCGAGGGAAAAGCCWGGCTTGTCAGGGCAGAGGGCAGAGCTCCCTCAAAGACTGTTGGGGAGCATGCATGAAAGTCTGCAGCAGAAATGGCAGGGACAASCTTCTCCCACCTTTCTGATGTACTYCTCTGSTCTGTCCCTGTGCATGGAGACACAAACTATAMACTTGTTAAATTAAAAGAGGTGCAAGTCACATGAAGACAAAAGCTTCASTACACATGCAGTTCTTGTAGAACGAAAGTGAGAATGAAGTGCATGTGACAGATGTTGGATGTATAGCTTAATGCCTTTCTGAAAGGCTCTTGGATACCTCAGTGGTAAGGGCAATATAAGAACCTATATAGAATTGAACTAATTTTTAAAAGTCTTGCCTCCACACAATGAGGACCCTCGCTGTTCAGGGATTTTGTGCAGCATATCTGTTGCTTTCCTACCCCAGCAGGAGTATCTTTGTCTGGACAGGATGTCTTTTCTCAGCCATTCCTGGGGYTTGCTTTATGCAGTTTCTTTGCCCCTCATCAAGCCCCAGAGGGAATGGTTATGCACACATATGATACCACAGGAGGATTAGCAGCTGTGTGTTGAACTGCACATCTTCTGTAGTTCTGGTGGAAAGGGAATATCAGGGAGAAACACCTCGATGGGCTGGCCAAGCAAGGAACTCCAGGATTGTGCTTGTTGCTTGAAGGTCTTGAGCACTTGAATGAAGAGTAAGCATCTGTGAAGGTGGTGTTTCTATCTGCTTTTAGCTTTCTCTTTTAACAGTTGTTCAAAGTTGTACAGTTCACATCTTCTGTAGTTATGCTTGGTGGGGAGGGGATAGAAGGGAGAAACACCTCGATGGGCTGGCCAAGCAAGGAACTCCAGGATTGTGCTTGTTGCTTGAAGGTCTTGAGCAGTTGAACAAAGAACAAGCATCTGTGAAGGTGATGTTTCTATCTGCTTTTTGCTTTCTCTTTTAACAGTTGTTCAAAGTTGGAAGATTTGCCAGCAGAGCAGTGGAACCACGCCACAGTTCGCAATGCCTTAAAGGAACTGCTCAAAGAGATGAATCAGAGCACATTAGCCAAAGAATGCCCTCTCTCACAGGTCAGTGCTTTTAACAGCAAAGGRAAGATTTGCAAGAATTAAAGCTCATATTTGTTCTGTAAAGATCCTACACTAAACAATTCCATAAATACCAAGYCGATTTTTTGTTTTCTTTAGAAAGGAGAARTTATGATTAATATGTTAAGTAGTATCTTTACATGGTGTTTTCTTAGTGGGTTGCCAGGTGAAAATTATGAATTAATTGATTGGTTTTTAGAGAGATGTAAATTCTGTGTTTAGGTTTTTATCTGAACCCATTGCAATGATCCTCAAATGCAAGRTTTGAGTGGCTGCTTCCCACTAGCAGAGTCTTGCCTTTCCCCCTAAYCCATGGGTATCTCTCATCAGCCTGCAACCATGATAAAAAGTATGCAGTTTAAAMAGTTGTGCCCCAATTTCTAGGAAACAGCAACAAAAAAGTATATGTAATTATGTTAAAAAAAGAACAAAAACTCAATCTCATTCTCCATGACTGCTTTTTAAACAGCAGTGATGTCATGTCTTAGATACAGGTTCCTACAGATGTCAYGAGCTCTATTTGTACTTCACATTGTCATAATGAGACATTCATAAAATTTTCATGACTTAGCCCTCCTTGCTTCTCAGAAAAAAACAGAATAACACTTTACTAACCAGACCAGGTAATTTTGCTAGGCATGAAAAATATATTGCCTTCTAAAATGTGTGTTAGAATCACAGGTGAATCTGTCCATATTATCTKTTAAAAGTCAAAACATGAATAATCCCTACTTGCTAAAAATCTGTTTCTTTACTTGCCCATATCCAACATTTTTTCTCCTGTGATGGTCTGCCTTGTGTTGCAMGGTGTCTTCATCCTGCAATTCATGATCCAAAGCCTCCATGAACCAAAAGAATTCTTTCTGTTCACCACAAATTTGTCTTGCTGTGTTAGGATTACAACTCCAGGGAAAGCACAGAGGTGAAATACAGAGCTGRTAGAATTCACATTCTTCAACTTCATTAGCCATGAGGGATCTGCAGAACTGACAGGAATGGAAGGGTGTTGTAAAGAAAAGCCATGGAATTTGCTTTATTTACTAAAGGAGTAAAAGTCACTGTAGATATGTACGGTGTTGAACATGCRTTGAATGTGAAAGTGTTTTTCTTTTCACGCAGTGTAAGTGTAATTTCTTTAAATAGAATTATCTGTGGAATCTGGTCAGTTAATGATGATTGCAGCATATGGTTGTCTCTGCCTGGTCTTCTTCAATATCCAGYATAACTAAACTATGCAGAATTCATTTGTTGTCTGGGTCTGTTTCCTCCCACTTCAGTTTCAAAGCCTACCAGGTGGAAACGCTGCAGTTGGTTTACTCCTTCTATAGCCTCAGTCTGACRTATATTTACAAAATTACTGATGGCAGAAGTGTAGCAGCAAAAATCCTCGCCCTAGTATTTGTTTAGCAGACAAAGCTAAGAGGAGATCCTTCTGTAGAAAATTGAGCTTGCTTACTTTTGAGCACAGGTATGAATGACCTTGGGTAGTGACTAACCCTTGAACTGAGACTGCAGAATGCAGCTTGTATKATTATTATTATTATTGTCATAAAAAGTTTCAGTCTSTTTTGGTTTAGCTCACAAAATGCAGAAGATACAATGGAAGGTTGTATAGAAGCTGTCTATTACCATCATCTAAATATGCCTCTAATACAATTCCTTCTCCCAAATCAGTTTTAAAAAAATACCGTGCCAAATGTGAAATGTCATTACAACCCCCTTGTGGTTAATATATTATTGACAGCAGCAAATTGCAGAGTGGTCTCTCAGGAGTCAAACTGCAGAGTAAATGCTGCTGTTCATTAATGTGTTTGCAGTGCCTCAAATACAGAAGTGGAGAGGGGCAGCTCCTGCTCCCACCAGCAATGGTGCTCCCTCTCTGCTTCTCMGTGCCCCAGCTCTCCATGCAGCCCAGATGGGGATTCTGATTGCTGCTAATGGGAAATGTAATCATTCACTTKGATTTAAAATTGTTCTGGTTTTTTTCTTCTAGGTGTATTACATGTCTGCAGCTTAGCTACCCTTAGCATACGGCTCCTGTTCAAATAAATAAATCCCAGTTAACCAAGCTGGAGGGTTGGTGGGGGGAGTGTGTGTGGCAGAAAGAAATCCAATTATTTCAGCCTTTCCATCTTTTCATAGAGATCTCTGTCTTTCCTGTGTATCGTGTGACTCCTTTCAGTGCTGACCGTACATTTTGTCTCTTTGCTGGAGAAAGCTTTCCCGGGATGTGAGTGTGTCCCATGTTTTTCTCCTTGAACTTACTGCACCAGATTTTCTTTGTGTGGATATTTCTTAGCTCCAGGTCTAAGTAGTTTTCATTACACATGGCTGTCATGGCCACACACATACCAAACATATCTGCTGCTTTATAGAATCTGTTCCTTCCTTAAGGATTTTTCCAGAAATATTATGCATTATTTAGAAATTTGCACCTAGTAAATGATTTTTTTTTTTTGCTACTCTCTTCTAAATGGATCTTTTCTTTCTGCAGACTTCTCAAGATACCTAGCAGAAATAACCCWAGTGTTCCTTTGCATAAAATGTTGAGGATATTGTGCTTTGAAAGTTGTTACAGTTCTTTACCCTGCTCTATTGTGAAGTATTTGCAGAGAATCTGTCCTGGGATTTTTTTACCAATGGTTGATTTACTATTCGATTTTACTATTTAGTTTAAGTTTTGCTTTCTCAAATAACGTTAATGGGTTAATATATTCTGTGATATTTAATAGCCCCATGATTTCAGTAATGATAATTTCTTGTAGAGCTAGATGATTTGG